CCACCATCGCCTCGCTCCGCCCTTTATCGTTGTACGCGTAAATGCAGGCCTGGTAAAGGGCGCCCGATTCCAAATGGGTGACGCTGAAACGTGGCACAGGCGATGTCAGATTAGCACGCAATTCCTGGCTGTTGCTCTCCCTCACTTCGAGAAGAAAGGACTGGGGTAGACCGCCGTTGAACCCCTCCGTGCATCGCACCGAGAACGAGTTGGTCGACGTGTTCAAGGTGGTGCAATTGTGAACCATATCGGGCCGACCTGATGCAGACACCGCAGGTAACGTACTATTTTAATGTTATACACGATTCGTGGATCTATTTATTGAGTTCAATGGTCTGGTATATTATATTATTATACCAATAGTATTGGTCTTGATTATTAATATGCCATATTGTCTCATTGTGATTAGTTTGTGTCTGTACTTGTCCAATGTACAATTTACATCACTTGTCTGATCATAATTATCTCGTTTCACTTATCTGGTCCATTGCTTCGTCTCTTTTTATTTTATCTTTCTGATTTTTTTGAAATTTTACAAATCTCTTGATGAATTCGTGACTTGAACTTTCGTTTGAAAATTTTTATTAGAACAAATGATGGGAGTTGATAATATAGTTATATAGATATTATATGTTTTATTAAGTCTACGATAACTACTTTTAGATAATTATTACTTTCATATTCATAAGAAATTATAAATTAAATTACTCTTCGAATATTTTTATATCTACGTTCGAAGATTAATTAATTGATAGAAGCGAAGAGACGATAGAAAGCTATTATTAATGTCGATAAATGGAACGAAGCAATGGATACATACGTTGTACTTTAAAAGGAGAATTATTAAAAATACTAAAAATACTAAAAAAAAAGAAAAGAAAAAGAAAAAAGTACAAAGGATAAGTTCGTATAACGGCTCTATACTGAGAAATAATTTCGTTGCGAAATATTAGATTGACAAAGAGTGCAGCACTTTATGTTTCGTCTGAAACGCGATCTCTTTATGGTAGCGTAAACAAGAAGCGAGGAAGCTTCTGTTTAAACTTATTTACGAAAGCTTCCGGGCCATTATTCTCTTTTTCAGTGTTCCCTTAAATTTTACAAGCAATATAACTGTTTTCACGAAGACATCGTTCGATACATTCGTTGTGTACACGTTCGTACGAAGAAGAAAAAAGTCTCGCGTTCATTTCACGAATTGGTTAAACGCGATCTTTTAAAAATTTTACTCCAAAAGTTTTATTGTTCAATTTATTATTATTTGGCCAGCGATTATCGAAATATCACGAAACTTCGTTCAAATATCAGATGGTTAATTTTCACCGTGAATTTGTTTTCCATTTTGTTTTGCCGTAAAGAATAATTAACGAGAAAGAAAGGAACGAGGATAGGAAATGCGGCGAGATGGTTGAAAAAAACGGATAAAAATGGGATCAAAGGAAGAGAAGGAAAAGTTACCGGGGTATTCGTAGTTTCCAAAAAACGACTTGCCGTAATCACGCGCCGGAATTTTTATTTTGATCCTTTTTTTTGCTTTTAATTTCTCAAAATACTTTGCTCGTCTATCTCCTCCACGAGCGCCACGAGTTGCCTCTGTCGAAAAGCGGCCAAGTTTTCCTTTGAGTATCGAAATTAATCCTGCTTTCGAACGGGGGAAAAAAAAAATAGTAGAACTTTTATTGACAGTTAGAATATACACGCGTAAAAATATTATTATCGCGAAAATATAAATGATCATCTCGTTGATCGAATATCGGATATATAGGTAATGAACGTTCGATATATTTTGGCGCGAAATTCGAACAGTCGTTCTTTTTTTCGTGCAACAATTGGATCTTTTCAGTAGTTTGATGGCCACGTTCGTCACTGAAAAAAAAAAAAAAAAAAAAAAAATAGGGCCATCCGTGCGCGGATTTCCACACATACATGCGCATACGTGATAACGAACTTCCCTTTTAATCCCGGGACTTCTCGATTTTCCCCGGTGGGGTTTTCGCTTTTGAAAAATCAGCCCAGCGCTTCCTTTTTTTTTTTTTTTTTTTTTTTGTAATTACCACCAACCGCGAACGTTTCATTTTTTTCCCATCTCTCTTCGCGTTCATATTCAACCTACGAACTTTTCTCGATTGACAAACACGTGTATACGATGCTTTTCATATTTCGAAAAGAAGTGATAATCACAGATTGCGATTTGTATTAAACGTCCCTGTCGGTAAAGTCGGGGACGAGTAGAATTGTGACACTTATCGAACGAGTAATAGTGGAACACTAGTGGACTGGGCCGACAAGTGAAACCGGACGCTATCTGGTCGGACGAATAGACCGCCTTGATAGATTCTGATCAGACAAGTGGACAAGTTAGCGTATCGATTAGAAGTTTGACTAGTGAAACGGAATAATCCATATTTTTTTTCAAGATTTCTAATTTGTTTTGATACGATAAATTCACAAATAATGGTTAAAGTGAGGATAAACGAAAGCAAAGAAAATAAGTAAGTTATGGAGGTTCACAACCGAAACAGCCGAATTTCCATGATGGAATTATCACGTAAAGATACCTCACCGGCCGGTATGATGTGATAGACGCAGGGCACTTGTTGATGTCCAATTCGATTGGTGGCCCAGCAGAGCAACGTGCCGTAATCCAATTCCGTCATAGGTGTGTACGAGACGATGGAGGATGTGCCGGCCCTGGCGATATGACTGGCGGCCACGTCGATACTCTCGGCGGAATTGTTGAAGGTCCAACGGAATTGAACCTCGGGGGGGTTCGCGTCCACTTGGCAGGATATGTTTGCCTTTTCTTGTTTCGCCACGCCGTGCACCTTCGTCTGATTCGGTTTGCAAGTGGGCGAGACTGGAATTCGAGATTTGAATCGCATCAATTTTTCCATTCCGCGCGTCTCTTTCACGACTTTGATCGAAAATCTTTTCGATCGAGTATTTATACGATGAAAATTGAATATTATTTCGTCCGATAATTAGAAGGAAAGAAAAGAAAAGAAGAAGAAAAAGAAATATATAGATAATTGTTCGACGAAGATTCCTTCGCGTATCTTGTCTGATCATTTATTTAGCGACACGTTACGTACACATTACGTTCAAATAAAACGGAATGCTCTCCCCATCCCCTTCCGTGTTATATCCGACGCAAGTGTAATTGCCTGCGCTTTTACGGTCGACGCCTTGCAACACCAGGCTTTGATTACTGATTATGATACCCTGTGTGACGTTGGAGTGAAGAGTTTTCCCCTGTAACAAAGAGCGATTGATACAGCGTTGATGAGTTTATATACCATACGATTAACGCGTGGAGATGTTGCATTAAATCAACATTTTCTTCTCGAACTCGACAATTTTATAAAAATTCTTTACTTTCTTTTTTTTTCCATATATAAAAAGGTAATATAAAAATCGTTCAAATTTCGCTACAACTCTTCCAGAAGGAGAATTTTCGATGTCGTTTTAAATGCAATTTCGAACGTTTCAATTGTACCATATATCATACCCCATGGGAAATATCTTCCTGCATTTTTCAACGATGTTCGAAGAATAAAACGGGGATAAAGAAGCGCGCCTCTTGCGATCGATGCTGTTACGGAATTTTGAATATCCTTGTTTCGGCCCAACCTTGCACTTCCATCCCTATTTCTGCGCTGACAAGATGGCCTCGACTCGCGTGCGAACCTTTTTTTTCCCCTTCAAATCTACTACTTTCGAAACTTTTTGATCCCGCGGAAACAAGTTTGTTTAAATTAGTTAGTTAAGGGATAAAAGGACGTACTCTTAGGTAGTAATCGCGGGAAGGGAGGAATAAAAAACGGAAACGGGCGAAAAACGCGCAAACTTGAAACTGTGATGCGCGCCGTTGAAAATTTCGAAAGCTTTACTATTATTATCCAGATTATAATAAACAGCAACTAATATTTATTTCTTCGAGAATGAAAATTTAAAATCCAAAAAAAATATTATTTAACAAATAGTCGAAAAAATTTTAAAAAAAAAGAAAAAGAGATAGAAATATTGAAAGCACATTTACGATTTTATTTGTTATAAATAATATATATAAATAATATATATATACATATTAATTAAATCGAATTGATTATATCAATATATATATACATATATATTATATAAATTTGAAAACTTTAGAATTACAAATTTCGATTCACCTTTCGATTTACCTCACGAGAATTGAGATATAAACACGAGATATAAATAAACGATTAAAGTCGCTTACCAAATGTCGCCATTCAACCTTATAAACCGGAGGCTCGGCGTGAATCAAACAGTCGAAGTACACGTCAGTTCCCTCGCGGATCTCGTTGGGATTCAACGAGGTGCCCAGCTGTATCCGCGTTTCCGGCGTGTCTGCAAATTGAAAACGTCAATATGTCGGTCGGTTCCGGTGGTGAATAATCGTAACTGATCGACAACTGGTCGCTCCGTTTCTCCGTAGTGTGTCTTTAATACGCTTACACTGTATCTCGAGTACCCAGTCGTCCCTTATCGATTCGCTCCCCATGATTGGATTTTCAGCCCTGCACGACAATTGTCTACCGGCATCTGTTTTGGTCGCCATGAAAGACAAGATGCTGGTGGTCGTGTTCCCATCGCTCGACATCTGTAACATCGTTATCATAACTTTCCTTTCCGCGTCCTATATTTTTCTTCAATTTTATTCTTCAAATTCGCTCCCCTCCCCCTTCGGTTTTTCATCTCAATTCTCTCTCTCGTACGTCTTTCGTTCGAATTTCATTTTCAATGAATTCAAAGTTGTTATAGGATCATTTTGTTACATCTCGCGTTCAGTTTTCAGGTGAAAAAAAATTTTGTGAATAGAGATTGAAAGGGAAGATTGAAAAAAAAAATATATATATATATATATGATAAATTTTAGAAAATTCGAATTTCATTTCGAGATTCAATTCAAAATTCATTTCATAATTATTAATAAATCTGGAGGATGAAAATGAATAATAACGGAATATTTAATCATTCGAATTCGTGAGTATATCAATTCTATTTTCTGCTCGCAGTATACGTTATTAAAAAGTAAGAAAGAAAGTTCGAATAAAATTTATTTCTGTCTGAGCTACACGCTTCGAAATGTATCGGTATTCTTCTCTGGTCGTATATTCCTGTCTAGATTCAGCAGTAAACTTCGAAATGTTCCATGAGAGTAATCTGTCCATGGCGTAGGCTTAGAGAGGCACGTTTCGTTATCAGGAGAAGATAGGTTAGTTTAAAATTTTCTTCGACTAAAGTATACGTAGGCTTAGATAGTTTCCAAGATCAGATCTGTTTAATTTTATGATAAGCTATGTTATGACAAGGAATCTTGAGAAATGGACTCGCACGGAATATATATAGTTTCTTCTCTTCTCTTATTTCTGACTTATCGAAGAAATTATTACACATCCGAGTTCTCGAGATACGTTTGTTAAAACTTTAAAATTCCTTCCCCTCCTCTATTATTATTTACCCTCTATTTACTTTAATTTCCGATCAAAGTTTCTAATTTTAACATTTCTCTTAAAATTTCATTAATTATCGTTTCTCAAAAATTATATATGAGAAAATTGGAAAATATTCAATCGCAGGAAAATTAAGATATTCAAATTCTGCGAGGAATTCTTTCTTCTTTAACCGTTCCATTAATATAGAAAGGGTGAATTTTCGCAGGTATCTTTATAAAATTTCCAATTAAGGTATCACGGTTCGATCGTAAACAGGGACATCTATATCGATATATAAATTTTAATCTTGATCCGCAATTTTCCTTCGCGATCGGGGATATAAATATTTGAGACGCGGAGATTGGTGGCAGGGACACGAAATAAAAGGGGCACTTGCCAAGAGAGAAACAGAGAAAATATTGTTCCAGAGTCGACGCTTCTCGTTCCGCGAGACTTTGTTCCGCCGCTTATATAAGAAAGTTAAACAAAAGAGGATGAGGCGTAAGAAGAAATACGAGGGAGGAAGGATAATCTATAGGAGGGAACGGGACGGTTCCTCGACTCACCTTCCTTCTTCCTGTTCCTGTAATCTTGTAGGTAAGAAACTTTCGTTTCCCTCGTTTTAACACGCCTAACGTAACGCCGATATCTTTCACACGAATTTCACAAATTGTATAATCGAATAATCTTTTCGAGATATACATATGGATCATCAATCGAAATGTTGTAATAATACTTTAATCAACCTGTTAACCTTGTGGAAATCTTTTCTTGTTCTTCTTATTTCTCGATAAATTTCCTCGCGAGGATTCTCCTCACGTACTTCTTTTTTCACTATTTCGATGTGGCACAGACCCCCTCTGAGCTTTACGGATCTCTCGATCAAAATTTTAGCCTGCAGAGAGTTTATATCCATGTCTCTCGTCTAAATATCCGCAATTACAATCCACAGTCATTGCACGGGATAAATAATAAACTTCCTTTTACATCTTTCACGATGATCTATTTTGGCGGTTGTAAATACTACATTCTTCTTCTATCATTATTCATCTAAAAATTCTCACGTATCGAAATTCTAATTGATATGCAGCACTGCAAAGTTGCAGCAATGTTAATCTTGATTTTATCTTCCTTACGATTTTTCCTTCGAACCGTAGCCACTTGTTCGCGTCCAATTACGAAAATTCCTATTCGAAACCTGTTAGGTAAACTATGCAAATCTGCAGGTTTAAATCCCCAGGTTGGTCGTTGTTTTTCGTGGAGCGACATTGGTTCGGGTCGCCAATAAATAGCCGGCCGTTGTATTCCGGTTTCGTGGCCCGCTCGATTTGCCTTAATTACGGGCCCCTAACGAGAGCATGGACTCGCGAGGTATCCGACTAGGAGGCACACCGTTATCACATCACCGCCTCGCTTCGATTTAAATTATTCCCCGTCTAATGGCGCTTTTAACGTGGCTTAAAGCTATGCCCTAACGCGATAACGATATCCCTGCACGCTATTCTCGCGTATACGGGAATCCTGGACGGGCGCACGCGTACGGGAACAACGTATTTTACACGGTTCCTTTAAGAGGTCAGAGGCTGAGAGATTAGAAGTTACCGTCGAGCGGTGTATCGAATCTCGTTTGCTCCCTTTCACTCTTCACGGTGAGGCGCATCTGCAAAGTTTTTAAACGCCGAGAGTTTGCCGAGAGAAAAGTTTATTTTATTTCTTCTTAACTTCTTAACTTCGTGTTTTTCCTACATTTGTAACAACGTGGAGCGTTGCGCAAGAACCTACTTTCAAAACCGCGCAACGAGGTTTTTGCACGAATAAAAACTTTGCGTTTAAGTTTAATAAGTCACCTAAGAGTAATTATCATGGTTCAACGATCATTTTCACACCTCTTTCTTGTTTAAATAACAAGAGAGGAATGATGTAAAGAGTTCTACGTTCTCCTCCAAACGTTCTAATTGACGAATGAAATTTTGCAAGTTCAAGTGTCATGGATATGATATTATGGATTAAAACAGTGATGGGGAGGAGAAATAAATTTCCAAAATCTTCGTAGGAACCAGTTTCCACGCGACAAAATTCTTCGACTCGGGTGTGGAAAAATAATATCCACGATATATCATTTTTAGAGCCAGGTTCGCAACTAGGAGATTCGAGTTCGATTCCCTCACCCCACCTTTTTCTTTCCGCGACAAGTATATATTTCGGGCGGGTAGGCGAGATATTTCACCGATTTAAGAGCCTCTGACTTCGATTTACGAGTCGAGGCCAGGGAATAGCCAGGCCTGGATTCTCGGCCAACGAGTTGGTGTCTCGCCTTTTCATCATTCTCTCGTACTTACACTCTCCTTGGTGTCCACCAAACGTTGATCGTTCCTCCACCAGGTTACCGTGGCCGGTGGCCTCGAGCCGGAAGTGACGCAGACCAGCTCGTACCTCTTGCCCGCGGACAACGGCTGGTTCGACCCGATTATCCTCACCTCCAACGGCCAGACTGCAAGTGTAGTCGTTTGGAATGGCGTATTAGTATTAGTGCTCGCGTAACAAGCGTTATTTCACGCGTGAAGAATAAATAAAAGGTAACGGATATGCTTGGATTATAAGTCAAACGGTTAGAAGAAAGGGAAATATTCAGGCCGGAGTTTTGGGTTGATTTGTTGGAAGTGACGAAATATATGTATGTGTAGAAGTTGGATGAGAGATGAGTTGGACGGGAGTAGGTTTCGACTATTGTGAAAGGGAGGAAAAGTAGAGCGGAACGCGATGTCCGCGAGCGGAGAAGAGGCGTGGGGGAGGATGGCTTATCAGACGGAATGAGTAGAAGTGGTGAATGTTCGAGTAGAATGGAAGTATGTGCGGAACGGATAGTAGAACAGGGCTGTTGGTGTTGGAAAAGTTGAAAGCGCGGTGCTTGGACGGAGTAAAATGGAGAAACAGATGCTGAAATGGAATTGGTGGTTGATAAATGTTAATTGAATTTTCCGTGAAAATTATTCCCTTTTAATTTAATTTAATATGGTCTTTAAATGGTTACGCGTAAAATGATATTTTTATGAGTATTTTTTGTTTCGAAAATAGGCAATAGATTGTTGAAATAAGGTTTGTTTTATATGCTTTTGGTATATATTTATATACCAAGACCAACCTTCCTGATAGTTGTTTTTTTTTACACGGATAATTGTTTGCGTTATCGAGTCATCGATTTTTCTTCCTCCTCGCTGTCCTTCATTATTTTTTCTCAGCTTTGTGTCCGTTTATTATGCTCCAGATACTTCGTGGATCGTCACGTCAGACACAATCGGATAATAACTCACTTGCCATTTGTCGTACATATCACGGTATAAAACAAACGGTTATATATTTTTTGAATAATAATGAAAATTAGAATAATTATTTTCGTGTAATTAATTTTTTAACTTTTTAAATAAAGTAATTCTTCTACTTGTAAATAATTACAAAGAGGAATTACAAAGAAAATTTCACGCGGCATATTATACAGAATCATTAAAATAAAAATGATTTCGAAAAATTTTTAGTTGACAATTTATTTTTAAAGTCGTCGTATTTTAAATAAAAAATTATGAACATTTTGAAACGATCTTTTCCGTGATATTTTACATCGTTGTTATCGATGTGTGGAGCCTGTATAGAAAAATCTGTTTCAATAATAAGAAAATTGTACGAAACGAACATGAAAAATATCTTAATAATCAATCTTCGTTCCATTGTGTCTTCATATAATTGAACACTCGTGCCCTGAGAATTAACTATCTTTCTTCCCCTAGTCACTTTCTTCTTTCTCTTTTTCTTCCCCTATTTTTTTTCTTCCTTTCTTTTTTCGCGCGACACTACGTTATTCGAGACACGTCTGCAATATCCATCGTGAAAAATTGACGTTGATAAATTTCTTTTATATATAAAACGATACTTCATTGAATAACAAAATTATTCAGAAAATAGTTTTCGTTCACTGTTGAATTTCCGGAGGGATTATTAATTATAATTTTCTTTTCTTCGTTAAAAAAAAAATTATAACAAAGAAAACGAAGGAAATCGAATGCAAAAAAGAAGAGCAGCAACATTACAAAATATTTTTCCTTAAAACGAAATCACCAAACTTTGTGTCGTCTGGGCACGAACGATACTGCTTTCCTTCCCAATTATATCGTTATCTCTCTCGAAATCTCTTCGTTAGAATCCTTCTAACACGCGACCAACTGTGAAAACCATCGTCTGTTTACATTTGTTCGAAACAACGACAAGACACGATTGGATTTACGCGCATAAACTTAAAGAAACTTAGGCTGCCGCCACGATTAGAAAAGAAATTCGAAGTAAGTTTTTATTATTCAAGAGAAATAAGAAGTCTCTTTAAGGAAAGAGAAGAGAGAAGAAAATCTATGAAATTTATTTCGCCGTGCGATGCTTAATCAAGCGAAGGAAATGCGCGTCTCGCATTCGGAAATTGATTTTTATCTCGAATGCTAAAGAATGATATTATTCGGGCGTAAAAATGATTGCTAATATTAGTTGAATCAATTGTTTCAATATTGTTACGTGCTTCGAAATTGAGGAAAGTTTCAAATCAGAGACAGAGATCGATTGATTTTTCTTTCTTATTAGCATCGAGATTACGGAAAATGATAGCAGATGGCTGGTTTATTTATTCTTTAAGGATGATAGAATGCCTCCCCTTTCGCCATAATTGGGCGTTCAATCGTTGAGGAGGGTGTGCTTAATCTTTCGTCATTGTGTATTTTATAAATTTGTAACCGAGGCGGGATGGCATCCATTTTAATCATAAACCCGTTAAACCCTGCGTATTATGCATCGGATGAAGGGCTAACGTAATTTATTATTTATTACAATCTGGGAATAATTTTCAATCTTTATTATATTAGAAAATAAAAAGGAATTTCAGAGAGACAAAAAAAGAAAGGTTCAACGTACGGCGAACAACGATGCGAGAAAACGTACGATGATATAAGATTACAGGCAAGTGGAACGAATCGATATATGATCAGCCTATTGTGTATTGCCCCGCCAAACAAATAAGAAATATTTTGTATATATTTATATTATGAGATCGTTTTATTTGTTTCCTAGGTTATTTAAATTTCTCGTTTGTTTATCCATTTATTTTTTTCAATTTATTTCTTTAAATTTTAGTTTATTGGTTTACACACGAGCATACGTATACTTTTCGGTTAGCGAAGAGATATATTTCGATTTTTTTATTGTAAATCGATAATAGTTACCGTGTTTCAATTTTTTTCACTGCTAATAAAAACACAGCCATATTTTTTTTAAAAACTTCATAAAACCATCTCTAAAAATACCATCACGATTTTTGATGAAAAATTCCATTGAACTTCGCGATGAGAAGAAATATCTTCGAATCATTTATTTATTTCAAGAATGAAGATACTCATCAGAAGATACTCTCAACGATAATTTTTCGCCAATGGAAATTACATTGAGAATCTCAAAATCTGCATTTGCATCCTCAATTCTGATTCTTATGCAAAGAGAAAGTAACGAAGGAAGAGAAGATTCAAAAAGTTTAGAGGCCAATACGAAACAATACATTGTACAACCACTTGTTCTTCTCATTTTTTATCATCGTCGAGGAAAGAACGAATCCATCCATCAAATCGCTAAAACAGTTGATATAACGTAAAATTTGTTCGATTAACCGTACGAACGCGAGTGGACCGACTGATATTTCAAATATTCCATTCTGTCGCCACCAGAGACTAAGAGAGTAGGCTAGAGAATCCCTTCTGAGTTGTGGTCGTGGCTAATTTACATGACTTGCATCGGGCTAATTCGAGAGACGGTCGATAGCCTCGGTTAAAGGGGTTGAAACGATGTTTACTTTATTATGTAATCACGGGGAAATTCAATATTGACGGAGGCACACCGGAAGCTGTTTTAGAAACGCCTTATGGCTCTTTTAAACGCTGGATGCCCTCTTCGTTCCATTTTTCCGTACATATATATATATATACATATACGCTTTAAAGCATTATATAGTATGCAAATGATCCTGGAAATGAACTGAGGAGTAATTTCGATTTTAATGTTGTTGTCGAAGGTATATTGCTGTTATTCTTAGATTGTTATTTCGAAGGATTATTATTATTATTATTATTCAAGTATTATTAATTTAATCGGATTAATCCCGTTATCTTGAGTTTTTCATTCGTTCGCGAATATTATATAAAATAAGACGGTGTATCTAATCTCATTTACTTACAAGACTCTCTGTGTCCACGAATAAATTAATATTTTCCAAGAAAGAACATCTCAACATTAAGAAACACCGAGGGAAGTCTGAAATCCTTTAAGAGTCTTTATCGTGCCAGAAAAGAACAACTATAACGGAATCCTATAAACGAATGGAGCAGGTTTACAAACACGAAACGAAGATGTTGCTTCCTCCTCAACATTCCCTATTTTCTTTTAGGTATAATTAAATATTTATCAACTATTAATACGATTATGGAGAAAAATGGAATTCATATCAAATTTGATCCTTTGATCTATTAATTAAATTATATACTTTTTAAATAATAAAAAAAAATCACAGTATGCTTAATAGCTCGATGTTGCAAAACGCTATACATTAATCTAACAACGAATCCTGGACAACGAAAAGGATAATTTGTCCCGTTGAAGAACAATCGCTTTTCCAAAACAATCCAAAACAATTTTCCTCGCCTGTTTGATCCAAAATTGCTCGAAATTAAATGATTCCACGGAAATTGAACCGGTCGAAAGATATCAGGAGGGAGGGATCCACCGATTTTCAGATTCTATCCGCTCGCGCAGAAACGACGCTGGATCGACAAAGCGGCGAAATCGAGACGTATAACGGGCATTGTTCCAGGGAAACGTCGTTGCCATGGCCGATGGTATAAAGGCCGCGCCCCGTCCTCGACAGAGAGACGAGGAAATTTGCTTTACGCAGCGGCCCATATCGCGGTCGACCCGTGACATTTCGCCGTTCAACTTTTCCTTTTGCGCCCTCGAGGCCCGTTTCCTGCGACTTTTCCTGCGCCAGCCGACGCGTGCACGCGGGAAACGTGTTGCTTTGTCGATGACAACCCAGAGAGAAATGCTCGTGTAAATTTATTTCTCTCGATTTTTTTTTCTCTCGAGGAGGGAAGCCCTCTTGCTCCCTGCCCCAATTTTTCACTTCAACGACGAATTGTAATTGTTATTTTTCTCGATTTTTCTTTTTTTTGGAGGGAGAGGAACGTGATAATATATTTAGAGATGAATTTGGAGTCACTCAACGAATTAAATGGTTAGACTTTTTAAGAATTTGAGGTTAAATTTTTTGTTCGATCCAAGAAGAAATTTATTCCACTAAATGTCAAATGGTTTACCCTTATCTGTCAGACGACGAGAGCATTGTTAAATAAACTCGGGAATAAAATCGTTAATAGTTTAGAAAACTCGCCAATGGTTGTTAGACTTTGGTGTAAA